GAACTTGTTTTTAAAATAAAAACAAACAAAAAAAACCCCCACCTTGTGCTCACGAAAATTATATCATGTGAATTAAGTTTCTTCCTCACAAAGAAATCCCTGACCTCTGTCTCATGTTCTTGGGTCATTAAGCGAAGAGCTCTCAAAGCCAAGTTCATTGTGACCAAGATCATGAGCTGCTCATTGGTGTGGGACTGGGATCCAAATGAAATGTTTCTGTGGGCAACCAGTTGGACACTAATTCGACAGAAGGTATAGGAAAAAGTATAATAAATTAATAGTTGCTTCCCCCCCCCCTCCTGTCCCTCTTAATGAGGGAATGCAAGTTTTTAGCCACTGGTTCCTGTGTTTCCCTTAAAAGCAGAGTTAACAAGACAATATGAACATATCTAACTGATTCGACAGCTGCCATCAGATCCATACTTCAGGTTAATGAAAACCAAGTGCTCTCAAAGACTTAAGAGAAGCCAATTGCCTAAGATCTATCTCACCAAAAAGAGTTAGGGGATAATTCTGAAACTCAGGCAGTGAAATGTTTTGACAGTAGAAGAAAGAAACCTTGAAACAGCTTGCATCTTTACTGCTGCTCACAGAAAAGTTTGGAGTTTTCTTATCAAGATTATTCCTGAGCTCCAGGTAACAGCATGAGAACTGCAAACTTTGTTAAAGACTGTTATGACCTTCTCCATAACCCATTCAACATTCAGTCCACTTCCCATTTTGAAACTGCAGCCTTTAAAGTTACTGGTTTGATTCAATTATGGGGGAAGATGACAAGGAAGAGGAAAAAGTAGATGCGAGAAGTTTTCTAGAGGGCAAGGAGGAAAAAAAAAAATTATTTCCAGCAGGAGACAGGTTATGCACAGTTGTTCTTTTTCCAGTAAAAACTTAACACTGCAGTACTATTTAAGTCTGGGTATCCTACGGGTTCAATACAGGAAGCAAGTGGCCTCGCGGGCAGCAATGCGAGCAGAGTATCGCTGCTCCATCTGAATCCACGAGCAGTCCGAAATGGCACGCTTCAAAACCAGCGAACTGCCTGAACCGCCTGCTGTAGCGCAAACTCTGCTGCTTTGCCACTAATAAGAAGCACATGACAAGGTCAAGGGATGCCCGTGTACGCCGGAAAAGCCTTTTCCCTTATCTTAAATGAAGCAGTTCAAAATATTGATATCCTGCCTTAAAAACAATCTGCTCTCTAGTACGACCATACACCTGCAGCTGCGAGACAAGTGTTTTTGCAGTCGTTCTTCCGCTTTCCATGGAAGAACCGGCGATGACTGTTAATGCCGGGATCAGAAAGGGACACGCCAATTCAGAGGCACACTTAAGTCCCGTACACACATATTAACACATAGATAGGCTACTCCCTAATAATTTTGAGTTAACAAATGTTTGTTAAAAGAAAACGCACCAAGCAACTGAAACCTAATTTGAAAAGGAAATACAATATTCCCATAAACGTATGCATGAAAGCCAAGAAGCTGCATAATAGGCATGGAAAACATAAAAATATGCAATTTACATATATTACACACCAATAATCTCCATTCTGACATTATACTTAAAAAGCTCTGGCTGAGATGGCGTGCTTGCAGTTTGGTTGCTTTTTCATGAAATACAAACGAGGACACTCCTGGCTACCAGTTCCCCGAGACATTAATCCCTGTCTTTTTCCCGCAAAAGTCAACCCTTTGCAGGCCTGTAAGACAGAGGTTCTTCTCATCACAGCCAGGTAGCAACGAGTAAACCAGAGGAATGAGGAGAATAATCAGTCATCTGGAAGAGATCTGCAGACCTTGTCTTGATGTTAAAAAAGTGCTGAATAGTATTAACAAGGTGGGACTCTTTCTAGTCCCTTATTCTTTTAAACAAGAAAACGTTTTATTTCCCAGCCTGAAAGACAGGTATGTTATGGAGCATTCTGCTTCCTAAACCTGACCAAAACATACGGTCTTCTCTAACTTCCAAGTTCACGGCTAACACGATAAAAATAAAGTTACAGCACCCTAGCCACCTCCCCTTGTCCTCTGCCTTCACCCAGTGCTTGCCTGAAACAACGTATTTGTCCATCATGCTCAAGAACACAGTTAGAAAGGAAACATCCTGCATGGAAAATAAAGCTTCCCCGGGGGTCTGCGTGTCAGACCCTCATTTGGAATAAACTGAAGTCAAAGGGGAAAAGGAGGTTTAAGTCTGGTAAGAATATGATCCCGTGAATCTTAATATTAGATTTTGTTCTGCACGTTCTGAGGGTTTGGGTTTTTTTTTAAATCACAAAAGATTATTTGGGCTTCAGACAAAGCCCCCGCTCCCCCCTCAGTCACCGTAAATTCAGCTTTACACACAGTACGTCCACAGAGCGCTTGCCTGAGAGGACATTGATGGGTGGAAACATTATGTTAATGGTTCACACACCCAGATTTATTGTGGTCAAAAATCCACCGGCTAGTAAAAAGACCTTCTTTCCTTCTCATCTAAATTCCACGCACGCAGGCAGGGCACTGCAACATGCCCACTCAGCAGGAAAACTCCTGGTTCTCTCTCTTCATGAAATCCCCAACACAGAACGGGCTTTCGACTTGCCGGCCACCTGGGCGCCTGCGGGAAGAGCCCCGAGGAAGCGTGACGAGGGGAGGCACTGCGACACACCCCGCGACTAAGGGGCATTTCACACACAGTAACGTCGCACGTACGTGACCGACGTCTGAGGCTCTTCTTTCGGGCGTAAAGCACGATCGCTGTTTTGCTAGAGTCCCACAATTTGTTGCACATAATTTACATATTTGAGGCTGTATCACTCCCTTCTATAAACACAAAGCCTAAGGTATGTCATTTTATACATACACACATTTTATACATGTCTCTAAGTCATTGTTTAGGCCCCAAAATTGTTTTAGAGGAGCCGTTGGTAACACCGCATGAATTTAGGGCTGGGGTTTTTGTTTGTTTGTTTGATGGAAAGATCTTTATCAGCCAGCGAAGGTAATCATTCAGTTGCCAAGAAGCTGTTCAAAATCTCAATGGATATAAGTAATCTCCTGTATGCGTTCAGTGATGAACACAACGTCAGCTTTTGAGTGATCAGCCTTCTCCTAAACCTCTTGGTAGAGGTGCAGGATAAGGCCAGGAGCTAAAAGCACCGGGGTAGGCAAAGGTTTCAAAAGTCTAAGGAAAAACAACAAAACCCAGAAGTTTCATAGTGTAAAGACAGGGCTGGGTGTAAAGAAGCACAGTAACTGATTAAAGACGTCTAATCTGCTCCGGGATCTCCTTTTGATTATATCAAACCTCAAATCAGCAAGACTTGGGGGGGAGGAAACCTGGCCTCACTTTTTTGTCCCACTTTGCCCAGGCACCACAAGATTTCTTTACTGTTTTGCCCCACTTCTGTGACATGGACAAAAAAAGCTTTGTGAAAAGAAGAAAAAAAAAAAATTTCCACATTTTCCATAGCCAGAACCAACATACATTTAAACTGACACTAACAACTACTTTTGATGGATTAACGCTGAATCCCAGAAAGATGTTTACGTCAAAATTGTGGAAGCCTTGCACACTATGAAACTGGCCATTTAAAAAAAAAAATTAAGCAACTAATGTAATGTCATGGCTTTGGTTGGAGATTGCATTTAGAAATCAGAATTCTTTCGAACAAAATCCATTCAAATCTTGTTGGAAGCACATCCGTTTGTTTTTCTGTTGGTATTTTTTTCCTGAGGTTTCAAGCCATAAAGTTTTGTACCCCTCTCTATGCTATAGGAATCTGTGAAACTTAATTACATTTACTGTTACAAAAAAGGGTTTATGAACTTTTGCCTTTGGGCAAAAATGTTTATTTCATTGCCTTTGTTATTCATTCTTTTCAACTCCAGTGCCTTTGAACTTTTCAGCTGCACAGAGTTATCACCGTTGCACAGGAACCAGGAACTGTACTCCCGAGATGCAAACCACAAGTTGAAGAAAACCAAGGAGGCAAAGATATACGAGTCGTTATTTTGGCCACCCTTTGTGCCATTAAAATCTCATTTTCTGCCTATTAGAATGCCCTCTCCCTGCTTCGGCAGTGGTGATAGTCAGTGATTAGTGTGTAATTGAGTATAATTGTCTTTTCACTTTTCATTTGTGTCATTCTGAGCTTCTCTCTGTTTTTCTAACCACTGAGAGGAAAAAAGGGTAGAAAAGATAAAGCTGTTAAAACTCTCACTTTCAGCCCTGAAGAGATTCCTGATTGTAATTATAGATTGCATCCTCTTTGTGACTTCTCAGAATTTAGTGGACATCTCTTTCCAAGCACCTGGGCAAAGCTCTCGCTAATAAAATAAACTACCATCTATTCAAGCTTTAACTAATAATGTCAGCTTCAGACAGATGCCGCGCGTAGGAAAATTTAACCAACCTTTTGACACTCAATTATCAAGGCAATTTATTAACATGATTTCCTAAAAAGAGCTCATGCAAATTAGAAAAACAATTATGGTATTCATGCATTTATATATTGCCAAAGAGCAGTAATACTCCTAATTTATGTATTTATAACTCGATTACGGCTCATCTCCATGTGTACTGCTCAGCCCTTGGAACTCTCCTCGTACAACTCGCCTGTAATTTTCCTGGACCATCCGGTAAAACCTTGGTGAGGTTACCTTAAAGAGATATTTTATTTCTAGGAAAATCTACCTGACCTACTTGCTGTACCTAGCCATGGATCTTCAGGAAAACAGCAGTACATTACAAACGCTTGACAACTGAATGTAAACACGAAGCATGCATGATTACATTATAAATCACTTGAAATTAAATATAAGCTCTGACTCTTGATTCAGCCAGTAGGAGGAAAAAAATGAAAAAAGAAGGAAACTAGCAAACTGAAATCATGTGGCTTGTATAAAGAATACATTATGGTTTAAATTTGGCAATTCATTATACTGTGGCCTGAGGGAATAGACTCTTTGGTTCTGGTATACAGCAAATCCTCTGTCTGAAAACACAGGACTGACCTGAGGTGAAAGGCCATTGCCAATGGCAGGGTTCATGGGATTTGAGGGCCCGGACGGAGGCACAAAGCTGTCTGTATAGCTGGAAAATCCATGCCTGGTGCTGGGTAGGCAATAGGCAGAGCTGCTCTCTGGATTCGAAGGGAGGCTGCTTTGGTGTACAGTGCTTGGAGGGAGAGGCTGAGGTCTATGGACGGTGCTGCTTGGATCAGACACAGCTAGAAGCAAAAGAAACATGTTGATATGTTTTCCTCCTTTTTTTCTGGCATAATAAGTTCATTATGTGAAGCTCAACTTGACAGAATTGCATCAGGACCTGCATGTAAATACCAGTTAAATAGAAAATCTTTTTAATATTGCTGGATATTTAACTGGCCAGTTAAATTACATTAAAATTCTTAAGACTGTAAATTATAACAATTAAATAGAAAGGTAAGTCTTTAATATTGCTGGATATTTAACTGGCCAGTTAAATTACATTAAAATTCTTAAGACTGTAAAAATTATAACAACAGACACATGCAGTTTTCAGACAATCCTTCGTGGGTACATATGTTCAGAATTGCTACAGCAAAATTAAAAAGAAAATTTGTATTTCTATATATATCATATATAAGATGTAATATACTACTTTTATATATATATATATAAGGAAAAGCTTTATTTGTTTAGAAGACTGGTAACAGGCTTTCACCTCCTGGTCACAGCACAGGAATTCTGCCACGATTTGTAGTAAACCTAGCAATGGATGGGAGAAGCCCTGGGCTTTGCAAAATTCCCTTAATTAGAACGTGGCTTGGCAAAAACATACACCAACAGTTAGGATCCAAATCTCAAGGAGGGAGCAAGGAGAGCACAGTAACTTGTCTTACAAAAACTCAGCTGTAAGGTTTTTCTTTAGCAGTAAAATCTAGCGTAGCCTATGTTTGAAGCTCTGTTCCCCCCCTCCCCACATTCGTCAAAGTTGACAGAATTTCTGATGAGGCTAATACCATGCTGAGACTTGCTACTATCTGTTGTGAAAAAAGGTGGTCTGAATAGCTGGTTTTGTCCACCATCAGTTAAATATTCTGAGTACGCACAGAAGTTTCCAGTGCACCATCATCAAAAGCAACAAAGAAGACAGAATGCAACTGCTGCGTCCTCCCCTGCCGTGCCAGGCACTCTCAGCGGAGGAGGCCAACGCAGCGGAAGGGTAGGGAAGCGTGTACCTCGCTTTACCGAACACGGCACCTCTGCTGTGCACCAGGCTACCGTTTCTCTAGCTAGCACCCTTCACATGTAACCAGCCCTTTCTTGCAGCAAAACAAACCCGAGTTCTTACATGCTTAAAATAAGCAGGCTTGCAATGAGCTCACTGACCTCAGACCCTAAATTAGCGAACGCCCCTTTTTCTACGTTAGAGAAGAAAATGTTTCTACAGTGGATCAACAGAGGAAACCCCCAATAACACTATTTTAACCAAGTACCTGTTGGCTACTGTACCTTGGGGTATGGAGGTGGGTTGGTAGGAGGGCTCAGAGAGCTGGTACGTCGGCAAAGTTGGCATGGCACTGGGTGGAAATCCTCCTGGGATCAGATGGTTGAAAGCCATCAGTTGATTGGCTCCTGCCTGTTTCCTCCATCTAGCGCGACGGTTACTAAACCAGACCTACAAATGTTTTAATTAGGGACATTTGATTTTTGTACATTTAATATGGGTGCATCAGAAATAATGGCATCGTATTTCAAATGCATTCAGTGTCCGAGAAGAGAGAGACAGAAGATGCACACTGGGCTCAGAGCTCCTAGAGGAGAAAGGAGCCCTTGGCACACACTTCCATGGTTCAACAGACAGGACACAGGAATCCCGAACCCTAGTTTCCTCTCAAATACAGCCTCTCCTGAGAAGCAAGCTGACTAATGCTTTCGAGCTTTACTGCTTTTAATGGCTATCAATCACTATCCTTATTGTGCCAGATTTAACGAGAAAGGGAAAACATCTCTCTATTTGATCTAAGTGCCAGCCAAAGCTATTCGGTCTGGATTGTATTGTCTTTATATTTAATTTGCTGACAAGTTAGCGGCATCGCTTAACGCGCTGTTGGAATATGTTGGGATACTATATTGCCCTAATGATCAACAGAACTTTAAGCTTTTAATTTGAAAAATACAAGCCCCGCATACAAAACACACACATCCCTCCCAGCAAGTTTTCATGTATTCACATATGTACAAAACATCTCTTAATAAACTTGACATTAACAGTAGATCAGAATTTCAGTACTAGATTTGCATTTCAGAACCACTTTGAAATCTGTTCCCAGGACTGGGTACCAAACAGATGGGGTTTGGATTAGTAGGACATTTTAGCTATAAATCTGCTTTCCTTCACGTCATTCTCAGTTCATGTTTTAAGTTTTCCGAGTCTTGGATGGCTCTTATTGCCTCCAAGAAAGGACGAGGCAATACTTCACAACTGCAGACATAATAAGAGTTGCAAAACACATAGGTTAATATTGATATTACAGTGATTACACGCGCCACAAATTGGAAGGGCAACCAGCCAAGGTTAATATTGATATTACAGTGATTACACACGCCACAAATCGGAAGGGCAACCAGCCGCAGCAGGGGTGCCTGGACCAGCGTGCATCCACGCTGCCCTGCTGCAGGTTTAGAGCAACTTCTAGATTACAGCACTCAGGTCCATGAGGTGGACCACTGCAGAAAAGAAAGGTCGTTTGAGATAACGCAGGCTACACACGTTTGCAAACAACCAGACAGTTACTCATCATTGTCCACCCTGAAGCAGCTGCAATGATCATCCGTGGATACCATCAATTAGATAAGACCTTAACTGAGCATTAGCATCTTACGAGGTACATCTGCACAGCCTGTAAGGCAGTCTGGCCAGAAAGCCACCGAGGCATGCGAGCTGATGAGTCACATGTGGACATATTTGTAAAAGTAAGTTGGGTCTCAGATCTTGCCACCCTTCCTGCAAGCAGCCCGTGCTGGCTTATGAATCAGCCATCGCAGCCTGGATTTCTAGGCGCAACATCATTTACAAACCACGAGTGGCCCTTACAAAAGAGTGTAACAACATTTTGGACCACACTGTGGGCTTCTCTTCCGCTTGCATAGCAGGAATGGTGGGACTCACTGGGCCATCTGGTTTCTGATGTGGGCCATCTGTCACCCTGTAGTTTGATCTGGCCTCATCCTCTTTTCAGAATGAGATGCTCAGTTCACACAGCTGCCTCCTCCCCTTTGGCCACAACGTCTACTCCTCAATTACACACTCCCACTCCGGTTTAAGATTTAGGACAGAGAGATAGATGGAGGCTCTGTTCTACCTCAGGAATCCCTCTCTTGGTTTTTTGCTGTACATGCTAACCCTCCCTCTGCCTCCACGCAAACCATTTCTGACAGCAGCTGGCAGGGACGAGGCACCAGGGTGGAGATGCGAGACCTGCCATGAGCAATAGTTGAGGATGGGTCTAGCTAGATTCAGCAATATTTTTTACTTTCTCATCCTATAGACATCTACGTCCTTTTTTGCCTTTCTCTGTACCCTTTGCTTCTCTCACTGACATTTAAGTCTAAATTTCTTATTTAGTCCTCACAGACTCCTTCCACCTGCTTATGTCTCCCAAAGCCCACCAGTCTCACACTCCTGGTGGCAGTATCTTTTCAAGATGACCAAAGAAAAGGAAAAAGGGGCAAGACACGCTGAAAAGGAAGGAAGAGGCTTTGCTAAAGAGCCAAAGAGCACTTAAGAAGGATAATGGAGGTCAGACAGGGAGCAGAGAACAGCAAACATGTTGTAATTAGCCTACCCATGTCATTAACTATGGCTTTCTCCATGACACTCTCCCTTCTTCAGGTCAAGAGGGTTATCTGATGATCTTCAAATGCTTTGGGAACACTAACTGAACTACACTACGTGAGTGGATTTCACTGAGGAAAATGAGGTAACAAGATTTTTGTTTCCTCTACAGATAAGCATTTGCCTTCAAGCCCTAGATCTTTATTAAAATGAGTCAAATCCCAGACTTCAATTCAGTAGCGAGCGATTTGCATTAATGCCAAGTTTTATGCTTTTATTTGCAGATAGATTTTGGCTCATTTTATAGATTTGCATTTTTCCAGAACCGCAGATATGTATTAAACATCCCTGAAAGGGACACGCTCAATGGTATCAAAAAGTCTACAGCATCCCCGCAATGAACATCCTTGCACAGAGCTCTGTTGCCGCCTGGACCCCCACCAAATTAAGTGGGACTCTGCAGGGGTGCAGGAACCTGCCTGGGCTCTGCAGAAACAAGGCTGTGTATTGCCACCTCGGTCCCATGCGATCGGGACATGCTAAATGGGTGCTACTTGACCGGCACCCGTGTCACACGCTACTGGCGCCCCCATCTCCCCCCCCCCCCCGCCCCCCCCCCCCCCTGCCACTCCGCTGCCTCGCTGCCCCATCAGCCGCAGCACACACCTTCTGCCGCTTGCCCTGGCTTCTTACTTTCCCCGGGCAGCAGGAAGGCAGATGGCACCTGGCTAGCACCGGAGTTAGCCCAAAATTAACTCACCAAAACCCCTTGAACAAATTCAAAACTGCAGCGTGCGTCTTACTGCCACTAATACCACGCGCGCTCGTCACTACAGGATGGTAGAGGCACATTTAAATACAAAACAAAACAAAACAAACCCAAAACCAACCCAAAACCCAACAACCCACACCTTTACAGTAAGCACCAGGGGTCCGATCCACATACGTACTTGTTTCACTTTGATTTTAACAGGCTTTGGACCATCCCTGGTAAAAATACTAAAAATTATTATTCTTTAAAATGACCATAAGTGCGGCCCCAACTCTTACCATCGCACGTTTCTACAGATGAACACACTGAAGCTCTGAATCTGTAATTCTGGATGTTTTAACTTCATCGTTTTTACTATTGTTACTATTTACTGTCATGGCTTGAGATTTGGTTTGCAACTGTCTTTAACTCTATTTTATATCAGATAACTGCAGATTTCAGATGTTGTGTGTGACATAACACAAAGAAGAAATAATGTAACAGTAAGACAGGAGGAAAAAAATACAAACAAAATTGAAAATGGGTTTTGGAAAAATCAAGAAAAAATTACTCAAAACTAAATATTTTATTTACATTTTATGTAATGTTTATTAAAATTAGCCAGATCCCAAACTTTACTCAGTAGCAGTTATATGATTCCTACGTTAACTGAAATGATTTATTTTATTATTATTTTTTAATCATAGTATTTCACTTAGACTACAATTGGCTAACAACTTATTCTCAAGAGTTCAGGAGTTTTTTTTTTTTTTTTAAATCAGCACATATCACAAAGAATCCATGTGCACTACTACCACTAATTAAAGAAATCTTGAAAAGTTTTGCCAATATCAAGCCAAGATTCAAAAATAAATCTAGTCACCACAAGCCAATGTGTCTGCTTAGAAACATATTGTAAACACCCGAGGAAACATTTTCTTTTGTCTGTACATTTCCAACATGATTTAAACACAATGTCCTCTTATGTTCAGCAAATTTCAACTTCCACCAGCGTGACAGAATCCCCATCTTACGAGTGGCCTTTTCAAACCTAGCAGGTTCCCCATAGCATGCTCCTGTTCTCCCACGGCCTCCCTTCCGAGAGGGGAGCGATCATCCCCTGGGTGCGGAGATGCTCCGAGTGCAACGCAGCCCCTGGGGCAGATCACAAGTCTCACACCGTGAGAAAGTGCCACCCTGCAGTGGGCCTAACAGAAAACCAACTCTGAACCGTCTACGCCTACTTCATCGGACGAACTAACGTATCTTGTGCGTTGCCTTCACCAGCAACAGCACGGATCTCGGTGGAAGGCAGACCAACTCTCGACAGTACTTCAAATCGCCACTACCACACCAAATTCCCCCGTGGAAGCAAAAGCAGTGGGTAAGCAAGCTAGTGCATTTTGCAGACTCAAAATATAGCCTTCTTGCACGAACGGTACTGTGTCTGAAGGAGTCCGAGCTCTAAATTAGGTCAGCATTGTGCTTGGTGCTGTGCAAATGCAGACACGGACAGAGGAAACACGGCTTGTCTGAGGGACCCAAGCATCCAAACGCGATGATGTCTGCACCAGAAGCCAAGTCACATTTATTTTAGTGAGGCTGTGGCTCCCTAGTTTCTATGTCACTTTCAAAGATGGAATGTAAATTACCCAGATGATTTGGAAACAAAATTGAACCCCGGGTGTCTGGCCAAAATGTACATCTCAAAAACAGAACTGAAGAGGATGAAATGTAGAGGAAAAAGGGGAAAAAAATAGCCCTTTAAGGGAAGTAAGTATTGGAGGCTCCAGTTTTTCAAGCATCTGGAACTGGACTGACCAAAAGAGAAATCACTCCGCAATAGAATATAAAAAAAAAGTATTTTGCACCAACGTAGAATGGATGAGGTGAACTAATAGGTTTCTCCCATCTCTACTTTCCAATATTTAGATTCTGCTTTTTATTACCATTTTTCCTTTAAGTAGTTTGCAAGTGATCACGCCAACATCTTAGTTCGTTGATCTCAACAGGATATGCTTTAAAAGATGCATTTATTCACTTGGGAACACACTAGTGTAATTAGCCTTGACATTTCAACAGTCTGATC